CATGGTTCGTCGACGCCCTCAACAGCGCCATCTCCGGCTCCCTCGACGGCATCCCGCGCGGGATCTCCACCGACTCCGCCTCAGTCAACTGCCTCCTCGGCCTCGAGGACGACTCCTCCACGCACTCCCGCGGCGGCCCGCCTAACTCTTCTCCCGCCGAGGAACAGCGCGCCAACCAGCAGAAGCTCGCCGCGGCCGCGGCCGTTGCTGCGGCGAGGCACCCGCACGACGTGCAGTCCGTGCCGGACTCGCCGATGATTGACAAGAACTCCTCGTTCGGATCAACGTCCTCTGCGCCATCGCTGTCGAATCTACCGCCGATACGGGTGCGGCCCGAGGATCGCCCGCCGGATAGCCGACTCGCCCCGCAGGTTCCCGTTGAGGATCACTTCGCCCAGATGGGGATCTCCGATCAGCCGGTGCAGCCTGTAATTGGGGGATACATGCAGCCGCCGCCACAGGTGCCGATCCCCAACATGGCTGTCCCCAGCATCTCCCCCTCGGATGCGTCCAGCCGAGTGTTCTCCGACGATGACAAGTCCGATCACGGCGGCGGCGGAGGTCGGAAGCCGCAGCCACCCAAGCCGGAGGTTCCACCTGTCGCTGACCCCACCAACAGGTAAGCCATTTGTTTTTCGATTCTTATACTGGATTAGTAATATGCTTGGATTGGCTGTATGGAAGGAAACCTTATGCTGGCTATGTGTTCGATCAAATGTTTCAGAGCCATGTACTACAACGATAGATCGCCTCCTGCTGAATTGAAGCGTGACATGCCGGTTGGAACTGATGCTGCCAGCTATCGTGTGCCTGTGCCAGCCCAAGATGCTGCTGCCGCCGCCGCCGCTGCGGCTGCTGCTGCCCAGCAACCCCCAGCTGGGTATGTGTATGCACAGATGCATGCGCCGCCACCGCAGCAGCAACCCCCACCACCACAGCAGCAACAGCCAGTCCCACAGCAATATGTCACTGCACAAAATCAGCATTTCATTCACAATCCAGCTACTGGCACATTCATCCCAATCCAATCCTATTACCACCATCCGGTCCCTCAGCAAGCACCACAGCCGCCCATGCCGCAGCCTGTGCCACAGCCACAACAATCACACGCTTTCGACCCAAATACTGGCATGTATTACATTCCCATGCGCACGAATGCGCCTCAGGCATATAGCATGCCTCCTGGTGCCGCTGCTGTGCCGCCTCCCACCCTTGTTGACACTACACCAAAACCAACCGTGCCAATTCCTCAGATGGCCGTGAAGCAGCCTGAACTGCAGCAACCTGGTTTGTACCGAACTACCGCAGCACCTACCCCTGTACCAGCGTCTAATGCTCCTGCGTATGCTGGGATGGGCTACCACCATGTTATTCAAACACACCATCATCCAGCGCCACAGCCTGCAGCGACTGTGGCAGGCAATTTTGGATATGACTATGGTGATCCCACGCGAGCACAGGTCTTCTACTCGCAGGCAGCGGCACCACCAACATTGCCACCTCAGTATCAGCCCATGGGCTCGCCCGATGCTGGCCAGGCTGACCTGAAACAGGCCCGGGCTTCATAGCTCAAGGATTTGTGAACTCTGGTATGTTGAGAATCCTAGAAGTGTAGTTATCCTGCCGTTAATTATCACTATTGTTATTACATGTTACATGAGTCAGTTGGCAACCAGTGGATGGATGATGGCATTAGGCAGCTGTGCATTTGGGATCAAAATAAGATGAAAATGGGATGGTAGTTCTTGTGTTGGGTGAAACTCAAGAGGGTGTTTGTGATTGGTTCTGGAGATGCCAATCGCCAATGCTGGAGCAAGTGGCGGGGAGTGGCTTCCAATTCCAATTGCCGTCTTCTTATTTTTTAAAAAAATAAATATATAGTGTCTAAAGAACTCGGTACAAATTCTGAATCAAGAACTCATCATTTGTGTAGCCCTTTGTATATTTGAACCTGGAAGTTATTGAGGTTGAAATGTCAGATAAAAGTGTCATTACTTTGCTTGTAGAAACTTCATTTGAGTTAAATATCATATATATACATCATTCCTGTCTCTGTATTTTGCCATTGATGTTGATATGTTTCTTATGGTTTATTACATTGACTTGAATCTTGCTGCTATTGGGTCATCACAGTTCCGTGTGTGTTTTTCCTTTGGGCCAGTTGCTTTTGAATTGGAACTTATTGGCTCGCAAGTCCAGGTGATTTGTTTCTTTTCAATGTATATCGCTTTCTGTAGACTGCCCGCTTGCAAATCAAGTCAGCATGAACATCTATCCTGTTCATTCTATAACGTAATGTTACGGGCACGGAGACAGAAGATTGTGCATTTATATGGACTGCGAGCCTTCAGTATCAGTCCCATGTATTACTAGGTTATCAAATGAGCATATATATTTTTTGACGCAAAAAATGAGCATATTTGCTTAGCTGCTAATTCATTACTTTTTTTACTGTGGATTTCTAATTTGTATAAGTAATCCTGATTTTCTTGCAAAATTTGTATAAGTAATCCTGATTTTCTTGCAAGGAGGAATTCACCCTGCTATGATTTGCCAATATGATGGATGCACTAATTCAGTGGGGGGTATTTGTAAGAGTTGCTAGGTCTTTCTCAGTTGATTTTCGCATCCGCTGAAGCCGCGCATATATTTGGCACGAGATAATCTGTTGATACGCCACCATGGTACTCCTAGGTTGCACCTGGCCTGTTATTTTAGCACATAATTATGCGTTTCTAATGTGGTGTGATTTGCCGGGGATCATATTCTTTTTCGGTAGCGAGATCCCAGTGCCGCTTTGCGATCTCGAAGCGATGGTTGTAATCGATTGCTTGGACTAAAGAGGCAACACTTTCTTTTCTTTCTTTTGGAGCCACGCTAGCTTAAGATATAGGGTAATGCTAGGTGGTTGATCGATGGGATGATCATTGATCTCGCCCTTGCCTTTACGGCTTGTCTGCTAAATAATTTAAGCGTTGTGTGTAGTATATGATTACATGTGTATCTCTCGGTGGCCAAGTCGAAGCACAGCTCTGCCCATGCGCAATTAGTTTGGTACGATAAAATGATCTCACGAACACCACTTTACGGCTATCTTTCTACTCTTGAGTACAGTATATTCAATCCAAAGGGAGATCTATGCCCATTAATCAATCTCTCCACTTGCAAACTCGCAATCCCTTCCTCTTTCTGGTTCTCGTTTCAGAAACTCACCTCTCCTCTCCACTTGCAATTCCTTCCTCTCCTCTCAGTTCTCGTTTCAGAAACTTGTTTGGGTGTGCAGTGTTCTTGACATGGGATTACCGCTGTGTGTATGGTGGTTCCTACAAAACTGCGCGAGTTGTTTTGGGTGAGGCGCACGATCGAACTGTGGGAGGAGGCGTTGGATCCGGGGAATCCAGGAGGACGCGGCACGAGGCCCGGGTACGCAATCCAAGCTGGAGATGGGCGCCACACACTTGCACGTGGCGTCTGCGCCCTCCCACACCCTCGCTCCCCTGCTGCTGCTGCTGCGTCGTCAAACTGATGCCCACCTGAGCAGATCGACGAGAGGTGCGCGCGTCTCGGGCGGAGCCGACGCCGACGCCGACGACGAGGAGCAAGTGAACAAGCGCATGTGTGTGTGGACGGTGGATCGGGTGATTCTCCTGCTGCGCCACCATCGCATCGTGAGTCGGGAAACATGGAGTTTTGGACGGTGCGCCGTATCCATTCTCCGGCTTCTCGCCGTGTCCGAGAACTCCAGTACACGCAGGTGAGGTAGGGGCCAACGCCACGCTGCCGCTGCGTGCCGTGCCTTTGCCCACATGGGGGGTACTACTACTACTACTGCTACTCGACATGGCAGATTGGCAGGCAGAGAGACCAGTAGTGCAGTACTGCGATGCAAGGGGAAAGCCAGGCAAGCGTGCCTCCCAAAAGCCCAGATGCGTGTGCATGGTTTTCCTCTCCTCTCCTCCCCGGCGCAGCAACAGCAGCAATCATACATGGCTTTAGATGGGTACATTGCCACCATTGCATCTCTCCTCTTTTGACTGCCTGCCCAAAGGCCAAAAACCTGGCTGGCTGGCTGGCTGGCTCCATTTGTCGGAGGAGAGATATACATACTGTGTGCCTGCGCCAAGTATTACCAGCTGCTGTGACATCAAGCTGGAGCTAGGGGATCCATCCATCAGCTTAATCAATCAATAATCATCATTGATCATCACCCACTACGACGTACTGTACTACGTGTATGTACATTTTGACCGGCGGTTTCGGCGACCTACCTCTCATCTCAATTCTGACAGGCAGACCGTCGTGCGATCGGCCTACCTAATCCTGCTTCCTGTTCTTCAGGCTTTCAGCTGGACGGACCACGCATCACATACTCCATACCTGGCCTTAATTGCTACTACCAGTAGAGTACATATGGTTTGGTTGATCTAATCCTTGCTGAAAACTGCTGATATCCATAGATCAGTTTCTATATATATACTGTAGCCGACTCTGGTAGTACCGGTAGATAGCAGATAGACGGGTGAGCGAGCTAGTCATAAAGAAACACACATGGTGCTGTCCTTCATCACATATACACTTTGTGGCCTATGTCATGGTGCATCATGATGTGTCTGCATCTTGTTCTTCTTGGCGTGATCGATATATGGAGATACTTAAGGAATGAGTAGGTATTAGGTACATGTATATATATACATTGGAGTTTTGCGAGATCACATCCAAATATCTTAACCCCTAGGGGAGAATGAGAGAGATGGATATGAGATGATCGTCCAAGGGAAGATCATGGCTGTTGGTCATTACCCTCAGGCAGAGGGAATATAATCTTTTACCGGATAGGTGTGTGTCTCTGTCCTGTCCGGCCTCGCCATTAATGGGTGGAGCCCATGTGTTTCGCAGTCGGTCAATATTGCCATGCCTAGTAGTACTGTCCTCTTGATCTTCTTCCCATGGTGATCAGATCAGACAAGATCAAAGGCGATCGTGAAAGCGAAAAGAACGGAGAACGAAAGCTGTGTATGTTACTATGAACAATATTAATGGAAGAACAGCTTTGTAACAGCCTTTTCTTTCCTTTCGGATGTACATGCACGGATCATATTCTTAATCCGGTTTAAAGAGCGTTATATGTACACATCACATGCATGTGATGTTAGGTCATGCACGGTCGATCGATGCTGCAATCTTAATTGGTCTCGATCGATCGATCTCCTTGGTTGATTAGTTGCTGATCAATTGATTCAATTTGCAGTGGCTCCTCTCCCTCTTGGGATCTTCTTGAAAACACCAGAATCGATGTCGCCGACGTGGCTCCGGAGATCGTGCACCGCCGTCGACACCAGGTGGTCGACCTCGCTCTCGTAATTCTCGTACATCACAGGCAGCGTCATGGTGCCTAGCACAACTGCGAACAGAACACAGCCATGATCAGAAAACTACCATGAGCTTATATATCTCTGACGCATGATCAAGAGATCAATCAGAAATGGAGTTCTCTGAAGAATTAACTGGGAGTTTCTGAAGAAATGGGTATCAGTTACCTAGGTACAGGAGAGTCAGGGAGCTGAAGCAGCTTGCGATCACTGACGCTATGAACAGGGAGAACACCGTCTGAAACATGCACAGGAGCAGATAACGTATCATATTGATACAGGAAGTATCAATCTTTGTGTGCAGTAGCAGACACTCACCAAGATGAACATTTTGATGTCCTTTCCACAAGCAATGTCGTAGAGCCTGTGCACGAACCAAGTTAGCCTGCTGTGCAAGGCCAGGATCACTTGCCTGGTGGTTCTCTCCGACACAAAAATTTCAGGGATTCTTGGAGCCGGCCTGCAGTTACCATCTCAAAACTTAGAACTTTCCAGGATTGAGAACGATACAGCCCATGAAAAACGAAATCTTGGGCTAATTTGGTAGTATCAAATGGCCGTGCTTTGTGTAAATTAAATGGGCTTTATCCTTGATGAGGCCCAGATTTTCAGATAAAATGGAAGAACAGAGAGAGGGAGGAAGAGTGAGTGGCTTACAGGTTGAAGAAAGCAGAAGCATTGGCCCATATGAAGACGACGAGCATGCCGAGCATGGCGAGGTAGCATGCCAGCGACAGGAAATGGTACTCCGCCACCTCGAACAGATACCATGCCACCGTCGCTCCGGCGACGATGGACGCCGACACCCTCCTCTCCCTCCACAGGATGATGTCTGCAGCTGCATTCATCACCAATGCAAATTCAGAACAGATACACTTCGAGTGATTCACATCGATTGCAATGAGCTCGTTTAAGCAAATCCATGAATAATGTACTAGCTCGCAAGAACTGATCAGAATTATCAAAATTAGTCACCTTTGTGTCCACCTAGGGCGTCATGCAGTGGCCTTTCCCTGCCGAAGAGCTTGGTTGTCCTGTGAGTTCGTACAGTTATAGCCATTCTGTTGATATCCGAATTTGATGTGGCAATACAACTGCCCAGGATTTGTTCTTATAATCGGCTTCGCCATTGCATTGTCAATGAACAAGGCGTCCATTGCCTGGGAAAAGCAAGGCATAACTTTGGCTCCTGGCTTCTGTTATCGGTATTGATCCTTTGGTGTCCAAGTGTGATTGTTTGGGGTTGGGATCTGATCCAATTCTTGTGATTTTGGATTCTGTATGATCGCGTTTTTTTGTTTGGTTGTTGAAATGTGCGTTACTTGTATTGGAGAATGAGACTTTTCAGTTGAAATTCTGTGGAGTAAAATGAGCAAACTTGGGAGCTTCTGTACGAGCATCTCTCAAAGACTTCTTACAAATGCAACCTCTGGATTTCAGATTTGGTGCTTGAAAATTCTTAGCGATCAACTTGAAAACTTGAGAATAAAGTTTGTGCAAGTGAGAAAGATTCGGCATTAAACCTTTAAACAACTAAAAAAAGTACAAGGTTCTTTCAGCAGGTACGTTTGTAAACATATACAGTATACTTGTGTAGAACTATTGATTCAGAAATACTGTTACTACTGTACTACTACTCTTCAGTGGAGTGATCAGAAATTCAGAATACTTGCATGATTCAAGTAAGAACTGAACAGAATTTCACTCTTTTTGTACTGTGACTGTGACCTGTTGTTGATGATTTGAATAATTTCAAACGATTTTATATTTTTGTTGAAACCAAGCACACCTTTATGTTTTGCTATCGTCCTATTGTTCATCCCAATGAAACAAAAGTTCCACTGGAGTACTACATAGTGTCGTTCGAATGATCAAATCTGACAACAGCCTGATTGAACATTCAGATCTTCAAACAACGGACAGTAAGCGTTTTCATCTACCGCGTCTGTCCTTACATACTATTTAACATGTCAACTCACAAGCAATTTGCAAGAGATTAGATCCAGAATGATATTCTTTGGAGTGACATGACCTGGCCAAGATGCTTATATGGTGGCTTTTGGCCTGCTTAAATTATTAAACCACCATGACAAATTGACAAAGACACAATGCCTTTCCCCATTAGCAAAAGTAGGAGTATACTATGGTGCCAATCACATGATACACGTTAGAGCAGACGGCCGCAGCGTCAAATATCCGCATCTAACCTCATAATCACTCACTGTATAGCAGTAGTAGTAGCAGAAATAGTTCGTCTCTTTGGTCCCACATTAAGGTGTAGGGTGCGGTTGTTGCGTCGTGGAGAAAACGATGCTTTTTTGCTTTGTAAATCATGTTGTTTAGTAAGTCTAATGGGTCATTTGCATTGTATAGTTGCAGTACTACTAGTATATCGTTGATCAGTGCGTTCTTATCTGCTTATCCCTTAATCTGGCCTTGGGCGTTTGCAAGGGGCAGGTTTTACACAGGCACAGTGCCAGTGACAGCGTAATTAACGACTTAATCACACTGTTTTTTCTCTCCCGAGTACTTAATTACACTTTGTTAGTGCTAAACTGCTAATTATTTGTTTCGGCCGACGGCGACTGGCCGCGGAGGAGGAGGTGGTTGCCGACTTGCCGTCAACTGAGACGGACGTTTTGGCGGGAGTATCACGGGAGGGCCCACCTGTCATCGAGCTGTTCAGGGCTAATCGCCACGTTTCGACGGTAACCCGGACGTCAGGTTCGGCTCGCTCCACGACGAAACGCGCGACGGACAAAGGCCACGTCAGATGGCCCTGTAGGTCACAGGCAGCGCGGGCCCACCTGTCATCCGCGTGGCCCACGTGTCCTCGACGGCATCGATCGGGGCCCACCACAATTACAGGTGGGACCCGCAGGAGGTCCCATGGCACTGTTTGCAAGACATTGTTGCCGGCTTCCTAATTTTGTTTTCTGCACGCTTTTAAAACTGCTAAATATTAAATTTTTAATAAGTTTTTATACGAAAATTGTTTAAAAAATTATATTAATTTATTTTTTAAAAAATTATAGCAATTATTAATGTACCGCTCCGTTTTCATTTTTGGGTTGGGAACATGTTCATGCGAACACACCTGTTCACGAACAGTATACAGTACTTGGCTGTAGCGGGCATCTTGTCCTGGCATGTGGGGCCCAGTAGCAGTGACGGGGACAGATCACGTGGGCCCACATGTCAGTGTACCATGTCAAACCTGCGCACCAACTCCTACTCTATAAAGGAAAAACTCGTGGTCGTCTTCCTCCTCGAGCCATTCCACAAAATTCGGCAAAATCCAGTGCTCCAGTCAGTGGCAGTGGCAGTGGCCATGGACTCCGCCATCTCCACCTCCTCGTCCTTCTCGCCTCTCAGGTTGTCTCAGAATCATGGGAGCATCATGAGCGGTAGCACCAGGGCTCAGGTGCTCCCGGTGGGCAGGCAGCAGCAGCAGCCACCCGCCGGCGGCGCCACCCGCCTCCGCGCCGTCTCGCCGTCGCCGTCGCCGACACCGCCCGCGCCGCAGCCGGCGGAGACGTTCGGGTTCGATGCCCTCAAGGAGGCCTTCTCCGTCGACGTGGTGGCGGCCGAGGCGCGGCCGCTCAACGTGCCCCTGGCCGCGCCCTTCACCATCGCGTCGTCGCGGCTGGACGCCGTGTCCAACGTTGCCGTCCGGGTGGAGCTCCGGAGCGGCGCGGTCGGGTGGGGGGAGGCGCCCGTGCTCCCCTCCGTCACCGCCGAGGACCAGCCCGGCGCGCTCGCCGCGGCCACCCGGGCGTGCGGCGCTCTGGCCGGCGCGCCCGCCGCGCCCCTCGGCGCCGTGCTCCAGGACGTCGCCAGTGCCCTCCCGGGACACGACTTCGCCTCGGTGAGACATTTCACGCAATCCCGTCGAACACCTGACTCCAATTTCACCTTAATCGTCGTAGTCTGATACTCTGATCTAAGATAATTACTGTCACGGGATTCACGTTGATGAGTCACAACTGTGCCTTTCTTTCTTGGCGTTTTCTCTGCAGTAGCTGCCTAATTTGTGTGCTGGAATTTTGTGAGAGGTCATTCTCTCTGGTAATTGGAGTGTTGGATACTGCCGATATTTCCTTGAAAGCAAAAGATAGTTTTGCTACAAATATGTGGTTGCTAAGTGATAATACAGGCTCATGCCCATCATATGGCAACACGACTCGTAATTCATAATCGCACATGAGATAAATCCTAGATGAACAATCCAAGTTACTCCTGTAAAGACCCTTTTGGGAAAAAAAAAGTTACCTGTAAAGAACCATGAATTACAAGCCTACAATAACAGAGGTTTCACATCCAAAATCAGGTTCACCTGTTCTTTTTTAATTCACATACAAGTGCAATAATGTAAGGCATCATCAAATGGTTCTGGCCTTTCTTTTAGGACTACACTATTTCGTTGTTTGTTTGGTACAAGATTTATCCATTGATGTCTATTCAATTGTGCTCTTCTCCAATGAAGGCTAGAGCAGGAGTGGAGATGGCTTTGATTGATGCAATTGCTAACAGTATCCGCATCCCTTTGTGGAGATTATTTGGAGGGGCGTCAGACAGTGTCACAACAGATATCACGGTATGGCCATCTCAGCATCCTCTGCATTGATTACAGAAAGCATTCTTTCTTATGAAAATCGTTAATTTCTTCTACTTTTGAATTTAGATTCCAATCGTGACACCAAATGAAGCTGCTCAGTTAGCCGCAAAATATCGAGGACAGGGATTTCAGACTCTGAAGCTCAAAGTCGGGAAGAACTTAAACTCAGATATAGAAGTTTTGAAGGCTATACGGCTTGCCCATCCAGATTGTTCATTTATCTTGGATGCAAATGAAGGATACACAGCTAATCAAGCAATTGAAGCTCTTGATAGACTAAACGGTTTGTACCCCTGTAAATTGTAAAGCTTCCTATATTCTGAAAATCTTTGCTTTTTTTTTTGCGGGGAAAAAATCTTAGCTATTTAATATCTGAGCCGTCCAATCTTCTCCTATTAAGCTATTTTTTTGTTACTGCCATTGGTTTCAGAAATGGGAGTGACTCCAGTATTGTTTGAGCAACCAGTTCATCGAGATGACTGGGAAGGTCTCCGCGATGTTAGCATTGTTGCCAAGGAGAAATACAGAGTTGCTGTTGCAGCTGATGAAAGTTGTCGTAGTTTGCTTGATGCTCAGAAAATAATGGATGGAAATCTTGCTCATGTTATTAACATCAAGCTAGCAAAGCTAGGGATTCTTGGAGCCCTTGAAGTAATTGATGCTGCAAGAAAAGCCCGCATTGCGCTGATGATAGGCGGTATGGTTGAGACTAGGATCGCTATGGGCTTTGCTGGTCATCTTGCAGCTGGTCTTGGTTGTTTCAGGTTTGTGTGATAATTATATAATCATTTTTTTTCCAGCCAAAGACATTGCCACCAGTATGATTAAAATGAAAAAAAAAATGTCACATTTTCCTGGGTTTCTAGACCTTACTTCTGTCAAAATAGCCACTGATGTTTTCCCCCCTCTTGTGAATTCAGTTTTGTTGACCTGGACACACCTCTTTTACTGTCTGAAGATCCAGTGTTCGGTGGCTATGAAGGTACAAAAACATTTTATTTCAATCTCCTTTGTACAATGTTCGATGGTTAAGTGAAAAAAACTGTTGAATGTAGTTCATATGACTTACTCAACTAAACTTCTTTCATCAGTTTCTGGACCTGTATACAAGTTTACAAATGCTCGAGGCCATGGTGGTTTCCTTCACTTAGACAACAACGGCTTGGTAAGAAGCATTTCACTCTTGCTGTTTAAGTTAAATCTTCATGTCCTGCAATAGCATTGTTTCTAGTATCCAAATGTAATAAAATGAAGAAAACAGTTTTTCCTTCAAAAGCATGAACGAAACAGTTTGGAACCAAATTATAATCAAATTTACCTATCAAACATGGTAACAACCAGAGGCACCTATTCAGATTGACCAGTATAAAATGGTGTTCTTATTTTAATGCAAATGGTCTCCTCAGTGACTAAAAAGATGTATAACTGATTGGTATATCATTTTATTTTACAGAAATAAGGAATGCCCTAGCCCTTTGGGAGCTTCACAGACAACGGTGACACGTTCAATGAACAATTAATTGTTCATTATTTACCTTCAACAATAATCAATTGGAGTTGAAACCAAAGGAGCAGTTGTAAACTTGTAATCCTATATGACCTTGAAGAGGCTAATTATTGTTGCCAGTCCAGTTAGGCCTGAAATATTTGATCAGTCTGTAGATGGATAAAATAATGAGGCATTTTCAGCTGGCCTTGTTGTTCTGTTCGATAAATAAATTACTAAATATGGTATAAAAGACCTTATGTATGCAGCCTCAAATATGCTCAAGTACAATGTATTATGCTTACTTTTGGTGTTACCTGCTTCAGTGCTACTCATACTTGACAAGTTGCTGCCGCCGCCTAGCTCCCTTGCCACCGTCGCCCTGCTGCCGCTCGTCGCCGTGCGCCCCCCTGCTGCCGTCAAGAAGACATGGGAGGAGAGAGTGGTAAAGAAGGAAGAGACCGAGGAGAGTATGACAAGTGGGCCTCACTTTATTTTTTTTAATTTTTTTTATGACTGAGATGACACATGGGCATCACGTTAGCGAATTGGACAGTCAAAATATCCGGTATTGTGATTGACAGATACGAATCAGATGAGACCTATAATTTAAGGTACTAAGAGTGGACTTATTTTCCACAATTGACAGCCATCCATGTTTATGTGACCTGATTAGGCCTGCGCCATCTCTCCGGAAGAGAGCTCAAACGGCCCGTCATGTCATCCGATCTCTCTCCATATACAGTTGGGCGGGAAAGGGGAAGCGGAGTACGTCTGGCACTCCGGCCTATAATGTTGGGCCCAACTGACGGCGAGCCTCCGGGGAGCGGCCCAATCAATTATTCATAATCCGGCTGGACATTGCACGAGACAGCCTCAGTTTTATGCGATTAAACTTTGACCTTAGGTCTGTACTGATGTACATGAATCCAATTAGCCCGGAGCCCCGGACACAGAAATTTGATCTCAAATTTGTTCTTACATAGCAGAGGAGCAATTCTTCTTCTTCCTCCTGTCTACTGAGGCAGCTGGGAAGATCAGCCTGAAGTGGTTCATTTGGACAGGTATTGCGGCCGTGGTGTCACCCACTGTGTGCTTCCTCCAGAAAACCTGGGTGCTAGAAGCGGTTCTCCTCTTACACCTTTGTTTCTTTTGCCACTTCCCGATTGACCAAGAAGGTGTCCACGGCCGAGATTTGATTTGTTTTTTTGTCTAGTTCTTGTAATCGTTTTTGCTTTTGCTGTACTCCTCTACTCGTCTCTTGTTTGTTTGGACCATAAAAATCTGTGGATCAGAATGGCACATTGACACCTCAATAACGAAAACGACCAACATATATCCAGTTCTTATTATCTTCTTCCCTTTCAGTTCAGGAAGATGACGTTAAGTCAGTGAGCTGCTCCTGCAGATGCATTGCACTTAGACAGACGCGAAGTCAAACAAGCATGAGCAAATGAAGAACAGAAACACGATAATATTATCTCGTAAACATTTGCATTAACATTTGATAATATCAATCATGTCGTCATGAGAATGATCAAACAAACAAACAAGCAGGAGCACACAGCATGGTGTGATGGAGAGCGAGGCAAGAGAGATTCATGGAGCGGGAGCAGCGGAGTGCAGCTTCCTGTCGAGCACCTCGGAGCAGATGGTCCCCATGATGTGGTAGAAGGAGGCGAGGTCGGAGAGCTGGTCGATGGACATCTTCGCCATGAGCGCCCTCGCCGCCGCCTCCCGCTCCTCGTTCAGCTTCAGCCGGTTGATGTACCCCGACGCGTTCCTCACCGTCGCGCCCATCTGCTTCAGCCGCTTCTCCTGCTGCACGCTCAGCGCCGCCGTGTTCGACTGCTGCACCACACACACCACGCCACGGCGGTTAGCTTTGAAGTCCGGCGGCTGGCATCCGTGCGCGCCGGTGGAGGTGCGGTGGTTGGGCTGGGTTTTTACCTCGAGGAACTCGGCGCCGGCGTCGAGGTCGCGCTGCTCGGCCGGCCGCGGCGTGCCAGCTTCGGCGCCGGAGACGTACAGGTTCTTGGCGAGCGAGAAGCTCCGGACGAGCACCTTGCGCTGCTTCTCCATCTCCTGGTTCAGCTTCGGCGAGGCGGGCATGGCGGCGGCGGCGGCGGCCAGCTTCTCCTGGTACGCGACGACGGCGCGGACGAACGCCTGGTAGGCCATGGGGCAGCCCGGGTAGTCGAACTCGTCGGAGCCGGCCTTCCGCATGCGCTCCGGGTGGAACTGGAGCCCCATGATGAACTTGCCCTCGCCGGGGTTGTACGCGTCGGGGTCGTAGAACCCCTCGACGAGGCCGTCCGGCGCGAACGCCATGGGCACGAACCGCTCCGCCAGCCGCCGCACGCCCTGGTGGTGGTAGCTGTTCACCGTCAGCCGGCTGTCCTCGCCGTCGAGCGACTCCGCGAACCACTCGTGCAGCGGCGTGCCGGGGAGGACGCGCACCGGGTGGCGGTGCCCGTCGTAGTTGTCGTAGTTGATGTGGCGAACGGCGGCGGCGGCGGCGGGGAGCTCGTGGTCGACGTCCTGGTAGAGCGTGCCGCCGCAGGCGACGTTGAGCACCTGCGAGCCGCGGCAGATGCCGAGGAAGGGGATGTTGCGCTCGAGGCAGCGGCGCGCGAGGCGGAGCTCGATGGAGTCCTTCTCGTGGTCGATGGCGGCGTCGCTCGGGTGGAGGCTCCGCACAGCGTCGAGCTGCTCCGCCGAGAGCCCCCCCGACCCCGCACCGCCGCCGCCGTACAGCGACGGGTCGACGTCCTCGCCCTCGCACAGCAGCACGCCATGGATGGGCTCGAACGAGTCGAGCAGCGTGTGCACGCCGGCGACCCGCGGCACGATCACCGGCACTGCGCCGTATCCCACGATGAGGTCGAGGTGGTACTCCCCTGCGAACATGCATGCGCCATGCAGCGCATTTCAGCCAACGTCCTAACCAACAAAAAAAGAAAAATCCATGGAGGAGGAGGAGGAGGAGATGACGAGAGCTCACCGACGAAGTCGACGAACTTGTTCTTGCGGACGGTGCGGCGGGAGACGATGAGCACGCGGGGGAGGATCCGGGCGAGATCAGGGGAGGGAGACATCGCCGCTCGGCTCGACGAACACCTGCTGCTACTTAATCTCTGCAAGAAATCAACCGATGATTTCAAGGCGATTACTCGAGAGGATTAATCGATCGATTGATCGTGTGTTGTTGATTTGCTCGGATTTGGGAGGGCTCAGGGGTGGGGTGAGGTATTTATAGAAGGTAATCAATCGGAATTGCAGCTTGGATTACTAGACGGAATCGATCTTATCACCGAATTAATTTAATCTTTTTTGCTTTGATGAAGCGGATGCGCATGTGAGTGCGAGAGCTAGTGCGACTATGTCTGGGCGCCGCGTTACAGCTACCAAGGTCAAAGGGGCAAATGACTGGAAATTGCTACATGTCCCCAAGAGATGTCTATGCCTTGTCGGACTGATTTCATCAGTACTAGTACTGGCTATGCTAATCCAGCAGTACTATTAAATTTCTATTTAATTGTGATGAAACTATATAATTCGGATTATCTTTTTGTAGCTATAATCCACAAATATAATTGCTCCGTTTAATATTACAAGTACTTATAGCTGGTTTGGCGTCTCCTTTTAATATTGTATAAGTCTAACTTCATTACAAACTTTGCTCCAGTAGTCGCTCACCGGAAAAGAGGATGAACTTATTAGAGTTAGAGACTTTGAGAAGAAGATGGCCGGGACATGAATCTCCCATATCAAATTGATACATATACTAAAATCCGACTAAATTTCACTAAAATGTTGAAAAACAAGCAAACAACTTGTGAGGATGTTATTAGTTGGGATATATATACAAAATACACACAATAATTTCTTTAGTTCTAGGATAAACGGTGAATATTGCATAAATCAAAGTTGAACTAATCATCACAACTATGAGGGAAAAAATGGTCGAGGAGATTAAGTGATTAAATCGTTTGCAATCCGTGACAACCCTGAAAGGGACATGTTAAACTAGTGCTGGATGCCATCATGGAAACAAGATAAACGTGTGCTAGGACATACAAGCTAACAAAAGAATAAAAGGAACCATATGGTTTTTAATAAATATGCTACATCATTTTATCTCTGTGGATATTATGGATTTTTTTAGGTCCATAATTCACAACAATAGAAGTAACAACCCATATCATATGCCCCGATGCTTGTCTATTGATGTGGCAACTATCTCTTTGCTTTGGTTGATTATCCTAGTTATTCTGTACTACGCTGAACACAAATACATGATGGTTTTTATGTGGGCGTTTATTCATTGAGTTCTCTATGATTTGGTTCATTTATAGATCTACTGCTCGGTGACCCTTGACATTCTATTGGGCTTATTGGCTCACCTTTGATAGATTCAAATGCTAGCTCTTTGTCCCAAGGGTTTTATAGTCTGCATTGCTAGCTTATATGTGTTTTATCTTTGCACTAGAAAAATTTCTAGGTACACCTCTTGTTTTGACCCGTTATCAATGTATTTTAAGCGAAGTTAAATATTAATATATGCACTAGTGAACTATATCTCAACCAATTGACAACAAATTTATGGAGGGAACTTTTAAGTGTGCCACATAACCGAAAATATGGGTAAGAAGATATTTAAGGAAGAAATTGCTAGAGCTCAAATTTAAATATTGTAAACTAATATACAACCTCTTGTTAAACAAAACAAATTAAATTGTGCATGGAGTATGGCGTCAGCAATATATGGATGAAGCCGTACAGCTGGTCCATGCAATTTGCCGATTTAAAATTTCAGTAGTAAGTGGCCGGATAACTGTTGGACCAAAATTCGGATATACAACGTGTATGTACTTGATAAGCATACTCATCTCTAAGTAGAAGATCAGCATATGCCTATTAGCAAGAAGCATGTACTACTGTCTTGGGTTTGATTGTGACAATTAGTTGCGTTGTTTATGTAAAATTTGACAAATTCTGCGATATGATTACTAGTACTACTCCAGTAGGTTTGACCTCTAGGAATGGGAATGGAGTACTCAGTGCCGACGTGTTTGGTGGTTATCCAAGGGAGGCTGATGCGGCCAGTGACAAGCGTCTGATGTGTCGGTCTGAGTGCGTGTGCGTTTAAATAGCCCTAATAAAATTAGAACCATTTCATACACGTTTATTTATTTTGCCACGTTAATTTACACGGACAATAGTGATCACTAGTGACGTGATTATAAATATATTATTCGTCTATCTGCAAGACTATGGGAGAATAGACTCGAGTGACCGGTCATTTTATTCTACAGGAATGAACGGCGTGCACAGCTTATAATTAAATAAAGACTAAATCTTTCTATCAGGTTAAACCTTCTCTTCTAGGATAAACTAAAGAAATTGAAGAGCATTTGTAAACATATGCAAGCATGGGGCACGCCAAACTCATATTAAGCTCGAAAAGATACTCGCTTGTCTTTTATAGTAGCTGATTGGTTAGGTCCAGTAGAGTACAGAGACTAGCAGCTGTGTACACAGTGCATAGGGAACGCGATTTCGGCCAGCCCATGCGATGCACGCTTGAGACTCGCGCTGCCCATACATTGTGTTTGTGGCTTCATTCGGAGATCGCACGTATGAGTGGAGTATTCTATTTTAAAATAAACAAATTTATAGCGTATCATAATAAAAAAAATCTACGTCTAGAATTGTAGCACTAATATTTGTTTATTTTGAAACGGGAGAGAAAATCAGTGCGGATGGATGCAGTGTTACAGAGTGGGGGTGTGTCAGGTGATCTATGGGGAGGCGGGGATGCATGGAAGCATCGGGTGCTGCAAAGTGCGAATCCAACGACGAACTACGGGCAGATCGGTCACGTACACGATAGATGCAGATGCAGGTGGTATCTGGGGTGCTCTGAACTGCCGCCTGCCGGCGGCTTGGCTTGCCGCGTCGCGAGCCGACCGGTTGCCATCCAGGGGAGGTGACTCCTGGACTTGGACGCTCCAAATCATTTGGAGCACGCACTCCTGTCTCTGTCTGCTTGCCTGAATCCTCACTTGCTCAGTGCAGAACTGCAGACCACAAATTTTAACAATGCGATCTTTTCTGAAAACTAATTTTACAAATGAACCGTGGCCAAAACTTATTTTAAAAATGACCATTTTTTTCAGCGCCAAATCGTATGGCGCTGAACTTAGACACCTCAGCGCCAAATAGCCGGCGCTGACATTGGCACGCCGACTCAGCTTCTCATCCGCGATGACACGACATTCAGCACCAGTTGACGTGGCGCTGAGGTGTCTAAATTCAGCGTCTCTGAAATAAGTTTTGGCTACGGTTTATTTATAAAATTAGTTTTCGAAAATGGTTGAATTGTCATAATTTGTGCAGTGCAGACAGTGGCTCACTAGTCACTACTCACCGGAGAAGTCACCTACCTACCTCCTCTTCTTCTACCAGAAGAGCCATTCTTTTTCTAGCAAGATCACTACCTAATGCTGAATATTCTAGGATTGATCATGGTTCATGGACCAGTTTTTACCACCTGCAAAATTCAGAGTTAACACAGCCCAAAGGGGCCATCAACTCTGATGCACCTGAGAAGCCGGAGAACGGAAGAAGTGAACCCCCCAAAAAAGAAAAAAAACATTTCGTCCTAATTGTGTTTGTTCTCAAAATCAGCTGTGATATGTCGGTTGATTTTGAGAATCCCAGCATTTCCTAATCAAACAAAACACAACAATGTATATATGATCCTCGTTTCAGTTTCTTTAAGTTCGAGTCTACGAACAAGTAGTAATGAAGACTGTGCTGAATCATGGATCCACAGGAACAGAGCTAGTAGCAATGTGCACATCGTGCAGCGCGTTGGAGTCTGAAGAGCCCATTGGGCGTCACCGGTGACGCCATTTCTCAACAAACAAAAGCTTTGCTTCAACTTCTGTAACCATCATGCAACTGCGCACAACAACAACCGTCCTGGAAAGGGTTAATTATCGAGTTTTTTTTAGAGTACCTTCACGTGTTCACAGAATCACACTAATCGTTGTACGCTTTATTTCTAAATGCTACGGCCGATTTCGCTCTGTCACTCGCAAGTTCGAAGCGGCACAGAAGTACACAGCTGCTTGTGTGTTTTCTGAATTCTGGTAAAAAAAATTTCTTATATATACAGTACATTATTGGCTGAACCTGTTTAGATGGGACTAAAGCTTTCAAGTCCCTATCACATCGGTTTGGACACTAATTATAAATATTAAACATATACTATTAATAAAACCCATCCATAAACTTGGACTAACTCGCAGGACGAATCTATTGAGCCTAATTAATCCATGATTAGCCTATGTGATGCTACAGTAAATAATCTCTAGTTATGGATTAATTAGGCTTAAAAAATTTGTCTCGCGAATTAGCTTTTATTTATGTAATTAGTTTTATAAGTAGTCTATATTTAATACTCTAAATTAGTATCTAAATACAGAGATTAAATTAAGTCCATGGATCCAAACAATATCTTAAGCTTTTGCTGAAACCATTGCAGGAACAAAACAAAAACATCATGCAGACATTTACCCTATGTGATCCAACTATCCAAGTACATTCTGAACCCTGACAATCTACAAACTGAACGAGACAGAAAAAAAAAAGCAGAGAACTGCTCCGCATTCTCGGGCTGCATCGATGGGCTGTGTTTAGTTCGCGAAAAGAAATTTTTCAGGTGTCACATTGGATGTTTAACCGGATGTTAGAAAGGGTTTTCAAACACAAATGAAAAAACTAATTTCATAACTCGCCTGGAAACCGCAAGACAAATTTTTTTAACCTAATTAAGCCGTAATTAGTACATGTGAGTTACTGTAGCATTTATGGTTAATCATGAAATGATTAGTCTCAAAAGATTCGTCTCGTGATTAGTTTTTGTTTTTACCTATATTTAATACTTTATGCATGTGTCAAAAATTTGATGTGATGTTTTTGGGAAAAAGATTTTGGGAACTAAACCGGGTCTCAATGGAGATCACTAAACTGAAGCAGGTGATCACCGTTGAGTCATCTTCTGTACACGACGCGGCAACCTTGAGCCTGTACGATGGGAGGCACATCGCCGTCGTCACGGGGACGCCGCGCTATCGCGGATCGCCGCTGTTGCCTTTTTGGCTCCTGGGTTTCGCCGCCTGAGAAAGATCAGTTTCAACGTCACGTCACGCGTCACGGCTCAAGCATCAGCAGGAAAGCAACTGAAGAAAGCAAGTGTAGCTTCTTCAGAGATTTTCTGAAGTTTTTGTGCACGTGCGAGCTGCGTGGAGAGAGGATGATGTGTGAGGAAGCAGCCTGCAGCCGTCCAGATCACGCAGTGTTGGTCCTGTCGAAATCCTGTATATTGGATAGTACCTGCAAATCATCATCAGACGTTTACAGTTCTGCAATTTAGCATCAGAAGCTTTAAACTTTTGAGCTAGTCTCAGTGATCATTATCTGAAGAAGACGACTCCTAAACATCATTCAACACAAGTACCTCCAACAGTAGAGGTTAGCTTATTCTTTTTTCTTTCTTAAAAAAAAAACATAGCCGATTCCATTTTAATTATATGATTCCGAAGATTTTCTTGATGTGGGAAGCGCGTGGGACGCGGTGGAGAATAGGCGGAAGCGAGATTAATCTGATACCATGAAAGCGTAGGTGAGTAAGCCCGATAATTAGATTGATTATAGACATGACTACATATAGGGACGGTACATTCTTATATCTATAACCAACTTATAAAAACAGAATTGGGATATGATTAAACCGAACCGGATACAATACAATATATCTCTAACAGTGAGCAGTAAAGACACCAGTGCAGATGAACGATATTGGGCCGCCACATGGCCCATGGCTGCGGCCCATACGGTAATCCCAGCCGCCTGCGTCACCTTCTGAATCGTAGCCGCACGCGCGCCACCATCCAACGGTTGCCTTGGACCCAGCAGGGGTCGGAGAATTTCCCCAAACGGCTCGTCCCCCTCCTCCCCGTCACCGTCACCGTCACCGTCTCGTCTCCGTCTCCGCCGCTCGTCGTCGACCCTTCGTCGAGCCGCCGCCGCCGCCGCCGATCCTTCTCCTCCCACCTCGCCCGCGCCGATGGAGCAGCTCAACGCCAAGCTCTACGACAAGTACACCGCCCTCAAGGTATACATACCGCCTCGTCTCTTCCCCCATTCTGTAACCCTACCCATGGACACGGATTTGATTTCTTCTCAATACGTTTCGCACTGCCGCTCTTGATGCGCGTAGAAGCGGAAGCTGCTCGACGAGGGGCTGGACCAGAAGCGGGCTGCCGACATCAAGGAGCTCCAGCAAGGTAAACCGAGGAGGCGGATGTATTTCGTCGGTTTTTCGAAGGGAGGAGGGTTTAAGACCTGGGAGGGAGAGAAATGCACATCTTTTGGAATTGGGAGGAATTTCTGTTAGGTTGTTGACTTCGCTCCGTTTTGTTGTTTCTGATGATGCAGCCATGAAAGATTGGGTCGCCGACCTCCAGGGCGAGAACGAGCGCCTCATTGCCAAGCTGTAAGATTCAAATGCTGCTCCTGCGGCGATAGGGTTTCACGCGTTCGTGCTGTTTTGGGCTTCCGCTGTTTCGGGGAAATGATGCCTGATCCGTTGCTTTCTCTTCTTTTGTTAATTTCTTGATGATGCCAGGACCCAAAAGGAGCAGCAGCTTGTGGAGGTCCAGACACTTTTGCTCGATGAGACTAGGAAGAGTAAGAATTCTTTTTGCTAAGATTATAATTTTATAAGGAAATGGTTGGTAGTATGCAAGTATAAAGTATAAACCATGATTGGGTGGAGGTGGAACTGATGTGCGTCTTTGGAAATGGAGGGAAACAATCTGTTGCTGATTGAAAGCACTATTTGGTCTGAGTTCTGTCTTCCATTTACTTTGGTATTAATGAAGTTGACTTAATTCAATTTTGTTTACAAAACATGCAGCAAAGGAGCTCAATAGTGAAATATTGAAGCTTCAGTGTCTCCTGGCTGAGAAGAATGATGCAAACCATATAGCTACAGGGTCTCCTGACACAACCGCTGAAATGATTATAGAAAATCAAACTCCAATTCCACCTGCAAAGAAGACACCAAAGTCAAAGAGCAGGGAGAGAAATATCCACTTCATTGAAAAAGCGACTGTTCCTTGTAATGGCTTTCAGGAGGAAGGAAGAGATGTAAGTTTTCCGTAACAGGAACTACTTATTAGTGAAGTACAAGTATGCAATAGAATGAGTGTGTTGAGCTCTTCTAATTTCTGTTTATGATTTGGATTGGTTTTGTAGCTTGATTCCTGTAGAAGGCATATGAGCATCTCAGGTTAGTGGTAATATACACACATGCAGTAGTGAATTGTTTGAACTTAAAAGTATGTTGTTTGCAGGGAGTGCGACAGAAGAAAGCTCCAGTACCTGTATGTTTCATATGCTGGCTGAATCAGTAGTTGGGATGAAATTTTCAGTGAAGAACCAAACAGAAGGATTTTCACTTTCAGTCTCCCATGAAGCTAGTGGTATTTGGAACATCAAATTTTATGCTATTATTTTAGCCACAGCATAGTACTGGAATATCTCATCATAGTTATTATTCATCATGTTTTACTTGTGTTCATTTCTCTTTCACATTCATTTGATTTTGCATATAGCCACCTCCATGTTTGCCAAGCTAGCTGAGTATTCAAGCAAACAGTTATGCAAAGAACAATCTTCAACCTGAAAAATGTCCTTTAAACCACCAGAAGAGTTGTGTGAATACATATTTTAATGCTTTAATATCTTTGTCAAGCATGTACACATCTCTTTGGAGCTTAGCCGTTTGTAGCAGAACTTGTATACCAGCATACAGTGTAGTTACATGTTGGGTGCAGAACCTGAGGATCATGTCACCAATGTTAGAACATTTGATTTGTAAAGATCATAATCAAGTGTAAGGAACGAATTACATTTCTAACTGAATTTTTTAAACTGTTGTAGGCTACAGTTTCACCCTGACATGGGTAGACCAACCTGGTGGCGGTGAATGGTCATATCAGTACTCGTCGTTGGGCACCCTGGACAGGATTGCTATGGGCTGGATGAAGGAGGACATAAAATTCAGCAGGGCCATGTGTCCTGTATTCTTTCAGCAGATATCGCGCATCCTCAGACAAGGCTAAGCTCAACTGGGAAGCTTAGTTTGGATTTTAGAGGTCCTGACTTTTGCTAGACAGTGGACTGAAACTGACTTGTTTTAGGAGTGACACGAGGCTTTATGTATCCTTTCGTTTGGCCTTTGTTGTTCCTGTTGTGAACATAACAATTAGCAAGTGATTCGAGATGTTGGTCGCCTGGTTGCCGTATGTCTTTATGTATAGCCCCTGATTTGAACTCTGATGGTTCTGAAAATAAGAGCTTCGACATTGCTGTCCAATATATCATACTCGGTGTGAATTTTGAATGGGTGCCTGTGGAAAATGATTCGGAATACAAACTTTGCGTATGAGAGTAAGACGTCCAAATTGTTACTGAACCCTTCAAGAATTTAACCAAGCAAGGAGTCGTTTGGGCAGGTAATGAGGATTTCACGTAGGCAAGTGCCAGGTCAACTGGCCTAAGGTCTGGTCCCCCATTCGGTTCGGTATGGTGGCCTTAGAGTTACCGACTTAAGAATAATTTATTAGAGCCTTACGTCTGAGATGGCTAGGGTTTGAATAAAGAGCACCAAACAAACCTTGGATCGGAACTGAAACACCCTATGATGAATTGGATAAGGACTTGTTTGTGGTGTCGACTAAATTCCTTATTGGTGATGGGCGAAAGGCGAGATTATGGGAATCAAATTGGATTGGTGGCCAAAGCCTAAAGAGCCTGGCGTCAAACCTCTATCGGCACTCCAAGAGGAAGAACTGCACTGTCCAAGATACAATGCAACAAGGAAGATGGATCAATGACATCCGCCATACCCTCACCGTGACCCTTTTTACATAGTATCTGCGAATTTGGGTGGTCCTAGCACGTGAACCCCCCCCCCCCCCCACTAACGGAGGGTGTGAAGGACTCAATTGTCCAGAAATGGACACCCAATATGGAATATAACGGAAAATCCGCCTACCATTTCCACGGCAAAGCTGACTTGGGAGGTGGGAGGTGTGGGCTCCAGCAAAATGTAAGATCTTCAGCTAGCTCGCACTGCAAAACCGGGTGTAGACAGCAGACCGGTTGCAACTCAGGGGATGGCCAAATAACTATTATTTTTCAGCTTTGCTTCAGAACAATTGACCATCTGTTGTTTGAATGTCCAATCTCGAAGTAAATATGGTTTGGCATCCTAAAATGGCTACGACAAGGGCACATCATCCTGAGGTGGAACACCAGCATAGACTGTTGGATTGGTGACTACAAGGGACAAGCCTCCCGGAGGAAACAAAACAAAAAGGGTTTATCAGCGTATTTTGCTGAAGGTTCAGTATTTTGCTGAAGTAACTATGAACACAATGCCAACCATATCTGTTGTTTTTTTAGTAGAAAGGCATGAGTTCTGTCTCTCTTTTTTTTATATTAAGAAGGGAAGCAAGCGGTACAGAGTTCAGTCAAATTTCTCAACAAACAAAACTTTGCTTCAACTTCTTTAACCATCATGCAACTGTGCACAACACAACCATCATGGAAAGGATTAATTATCACGAGTTCACAGAATCACACTGATCTTCGTACACTTGTATTCCAAATGCTACGATGGACTTCGTTGTTGTCTGTCACTCACAAGTTAGAAGCAGTACAACAGAAGTACACAGCTGCTTGAGTGTTACTCGTATCTGAGTTTTGGTACAACAAAATATCACGTTTAAACATAAACACTAGACCAGCTGGCATAAAAGAAAACACATTTTTAATTGTCTTCTAATTCTATATACATTCTTGGTTAATCTTTCTCTGAAACCATTACTGGAAAACAAAAACAGGATGCACGCTTTGTGATCCAACTATCCGAGTACAGTCTGAACCCTGACAATATACGAACTGAATGAGACACACAAAAAAAAAAAAAAAGAACACAGAGAACTTCTCTGCACTCTCAGGTTGGCAGGCGATCTCCATCGACTCATCATCTTCTGGACACGACGCGGCGAGCGGCGAAGAAGCGGTGATCCGGGTGGTGAACTCCGAGGAGGCCGAGCCAGGCGTCGGCGGCGTGCGAGAGGGAGGCGACCAGCTGCCTGTCTCGCCCGCCCGGTGCCCACGCCGCGACCTTGAGTCTGTACGACGCCATGGCGAACGTCGGGAGGCACATCGCCGTCGTCACGGGGACGCCGCTGTTGTTGCCTTTTGGCTCCGGGCAGATGCCGCCTGAAAGATCAGTTTCAACGTCATGTGTCACAGGCTCAAAGCGTACAGCAACCCAAGGAAAGATGGTCCAGTTGTTCGGTGTTTTTTCTGTGAAGTGTTTGTGCACCTGTGAGCTGCGTGGAGAGGGGATGATATGTGAGGAAGCAGGCGTCCAGATCGCATAGTGTTGGTCCCGTCGGAATTCGGTATATTGGATACCTGCAGCGATCATCAGGAACGAAGAATTCAGAGTCAAATATTTTACTCCAGTTAGTCTGAACTCTGAATGGTAAACATTATTCAACACAAGGACAGTATTCTGCTAGTACCATGCGACGGACATCCAACTGGTTGGCGACAAATCACAGCTCCTGAGAGTATTCAGCTCCGGAAATCCCCTGGCAAGACTACAAATCTGCACGAGTTTTTTGATTCAGAGGAGTGACAAAAACACAGTCATTTTCATCAGGGAGAAACGATAAGAGTTCTTGGAGTAATTGTTGGCATGCCTTGTCAGCTAGCGGTTCACGCTGGTAGGGAGGCTCGGATTCCAGAAACTCGAAGATGAGCTGCTCGTGGGAAATTCTCGTTGATTCGCTTTCGTCGCTCGATGCTTCGCTGGTGGAGGTTTCGCAGGTGGTATCTTGGACTGAGAACGCATCCGTGCTGCTTGGACATGAGTCGTGCTCAAGGTCGCTCATCTCTTCACTGCCTGTGTCTTGACAGTAGTCGCCGTCGCTGTCTTCTCCACTTGGCCTACGATTGGATTGAACAAACACCATATCAGAAACAACACTAGGGATTAACATAAGCTGATTCCGTTTTAGTGATCCTCAGGTTAACCCTCTCTCCTACTCTCCTATCTGTTTCTGTTAGTTATCTGTACCCGTACGGTGCTCCCAGCAGTTGCGTGACTGCGTCAGCTTGAATCGTAGCCGCACGCGCGCCTCCATCCAACGGTTGCCTTGGATCCAGTGGGAACAAAATTGCATATACTAACAGTAACCGCTCCTTGGATTACATTTGTGATTTGTATACGATGAATTGGAGACGTATTGTAATCACTATGGGTTTTGCCTTCCTAATGAAGTTTCTTAAGTGCATTCAGGATACGAACTTTGCGTATGAGAAATCCAAATTGTTACTGAAGATAGTGCAGCCTCAATGGAGAAGTGTAGAAACAGAGATAGGGACCTATAGTAACTCGTACTACTGAATACTGATTGGCCCTGACACTTTAAGTCAATGCTCGCAAACTCACTCTTCAGAGTTCAGATGGCTTTACAAGACTTGTTTTGTCTTTATGTTCCTCTCTCTTTTTTTTGAGAATTCTTTATGTTCCTTTCTCCTGATGCAATGGTCACTTAAGCACCTAAAATTCATTTTATTTTCCTGTCCTCTCATAGGAGACGCAAAATGTAGGAGTACTTCTCAAGGAATGTATTGGCAAATGTACTTGTTCTGTAATTCTGTAATTATGAACTACATTACAACCTGAAGTGTTGTTCTATTTCTAAGGTTGAGCATTGTGCTGAAGTAACTATGAACACAATGCCACCATAGCTAATAAACCATTTGTCTTAAGAACATCTACAAGAAGTGATTCAACGGTGATTTGAGGATGTATTACCTGGAATGGTAGAAATGCCTCCTTAATCTTCCATAAAGCTGGATTGCAGATAAGTAAGGGACGTAATACTGCACCACACCGTCACTGCAACCATTCAGAACAATTGGCACAGCGATACCATATGCGCTGCTCTCTCTGAACCCATCCCAGAGGTCGCCCAAACTGAAGAATGGCAGCGCATTTTCTTCATCAGATTGCTTCCAACCATTCATGCTCTTCTGCAAAGATAACCATACGAATTTTTTCATGTCACAGAAGCTGAAAAGAACCTCTACTTAGTCAGAAATTGTTACCGAAATGAATTAAGGCAGTTGTTTTCTGTTTCTTCTTAGTCAGAAATTGAGTTATAGAAACAAAAATGAAAAAAAAAACAACATCTGTTTTGGAACATACATAATTCCGTATTAGCAGTGAGGCAACTAATACTCTTGAAAGATCATCTTGGATAGTAGTATCAGAATTCAGAAATGGGGGAAATCAGGAAATGCAACAGATCGATGCATGGGATGAAAAGCGTATCACCTTGGAGGAGCAGGCTGTCGTCGGGACAACCGGCGTGGTGGCCTCGAGGAACAGCTCCAGATTACACCGTCTCGCCGTCGCCGGAGCGCCGGCGGCGGCAAACCTCCGGCCACAATTCGCCATCAGCTCAGCGCCCTGTGTTCTGCTAATCTGTTGAATTGGAGCTCGAAAGCAATACGCGATTCCGATTCAGTTGCTTGTTTGGTGGATGGCATAGGCCATAGGGAGGTTTAGTGGAGTTTAATTGAGAAGACCATATAAAGCAGGTAACGGCTACGCTATTAATAAGCTGCCGTTTTGGCTTCCTTCCAGAAGTGCGTTGGAGGTGCCGACGCGTGGTTGAGGATGGACACGTGTAGGGCTGGGATGGGGTTGGCAGGTCATGAGAACGATGGGTGGACCGGCCTTAATTTGGGCGGTGGGAGCTGGCTGGGCACCCATGGACGGTGTCGTTTATGGGGCAAGTGACGCGTAATTAATTAAGCCGGTGATGCTCCATCAGCGGAGTCCTTGGCCGGCCGGCGCCACTAGCTACTACTACTAGCTACGTCACCTCGTACAACTTCGTCACGAGACGAGACGACTTCACCTAGATTTTTATGGGCCGTGCGTTGCACTGCACGAGGCGGATTAGCCGGGGAGCAGCAACCACAAGCATTTGAGATTGCTGCAGGACAAAGATAGTAGCAGTGGAGTACTCCCTACATGCGAAATGTCGATGCATGCGGCAGCATGTTTCATTCGGAACCGGACTTTGTCGACGATCTGCTCGACTGCTCGTCTTGCTACCTCGCTTTCGTCTCCGTTAGACCTGGCCCTGTGATGGTACTAGGCTGGTAGCAACACAGTCAACACGTCGGGCAATGTCGAAGTAACGCAGGCTATGCTGCTGTTAAGTCATGGTCTCATGGAGCAGTGGAGTGCTGAACCAGCTGATCCACGAGCTGATGTATTTGGGCCGTACAGTCCGTGATAGCCCAAGCAGAAAACAACGGCCTGCCTGCCTCTAAAGATGGGTCTTTCTCTATCCAAAAACGGAGGCCCAGCTATTGTCCGTCTGGCAGGCCGGATGTAACCGGCCTCCTTTGCAGCCCCGCTTTGGATGGATGCCACGTGGAAACCCCAGCCATCGAACGGATCGCTCGTCTCGGCCCAAAGCGCAGCACTAGGAGAGCGTAGGCTCGGCTCGAGGGCACACGCTGATTCTCCTTTCAGGCTCCCTATCGGCTCGATCGATTCGAGACGCGGAGAATTTTCGACATAGCCTGGCGACTCTAATCCTCCGATCCGGCGCCGACGGCGTCCCTGAGACTGACGTATCCATAATCCATGGGAGCACCTCAGAACCACAGCGGACGTGCCGAGCTCCGCAGCTGCCAGGTGACCAACACGCGGCGAGGAATAAGAATTTGTTGGTGTTCCTAATTAATTTGGATCCAGATGGAATTCTTGAAGATTTGTTTCTGGAGCTTGAAACGTTCTGATTCCAGCAGCTGGTGGTGGTGCATAGCCGACGGCCACTTCATCACGATCCGAGAACAATCGATATGATGCGTAGCAAACAAGATAGATCGATTGATTCATAAATTGGAGAAGAACCGGAATCCGGCGTCATCGCCGGAATCAGCCGTAGTCGCCGATGTCTCGGGGTTCGTCCGCGACGGCCGCCACCCCGATCGGCACAGGCGCCGGTTCGTCGGCGTCGGCCACGAAAACGAGAAGACGGCTGCGCGGAGCCGACGATGAACCTAAAAGCCGCGTCGGACTCTGAGCCGAGCCTACGCCCTGGCCGTGCTAGGGCCTGGGGGTGGAGCTGAGTCGAGCGATCCGTTCGATCGTTGGGGTTTGCACGTGGCATACATCCAGAGAGGGGCTGCAAAGGAGGCCGGTTACATCCGGTCTCCACCAAATTTTTTTCCGTGGAACATTCGTCAAGCACAAGTTAAACTAAAACTGAATAGGAGTAGTACATGATTTCCACAGAAAACCATAAGAGAACGAATTAATGATTCAAACAGTAATAACGTCTAATTTTGTTGTTCTTGCTAATCTGCTCTACATACAAAACCAAAGCTCCCACTCTGGTTTTCTTTAATTTACAGTCTACTAGCCAGTTGTCTGCTTCAAGTATAGTCATTCCATCGCCACTTTTCACGCTGTGCTTCCCGGTGTTGATAACCTTGATCTGCTCGACAAAAACGCATATCGATCTTCGTCAGCGATTGATCATATGGAATTCAGCGTTATCAGAAAAAAAAAAAACAGAGTGATCAGCAACTGATCAACACGACACTGACCGCTGCGTGAAATCCGAGGCAGAGGAGGGGTAGCTCGACGGCCGCGACGGGGACGACGAGTTCGAGTGGTACGGCCGCGGCGGCATGGCGAGCTCGTGGACGCTTCTCTCCAGCATCTCCAGCACCTTGCCCATCGACGGCCTGTTCGCCGGCACGGTCTGTATGCACCACAGCCCGATCAGCGCCATCTTCCTCGCGATCTCCTCGCCTCCCGGTGATCCGGCGCCGCCGCCGGCCGTGGCGGCGGCGGCGGCGGCGACGCTCTGCAGCACGCCGCCGTCCTCGAGCAGGTGGTCGTAGACCCAGAGCGGGAAGAACGTGCCGCTGGCGCCCTTCTCGGCGTAGGCCTTGACGTTGCTCCCGCCGCCGACCATCTCCAGCAGCAGCATCCCGTAGCTGTACACGTCGGACTTGGTCGAGATGTCGCCGAACCCGCGGGAGAACACCTCCGGCGCGATGAACCCTATCGTCCCCCTCGTGTCCGCCATCGACAGGATGCTCTCCTTTGGGTTGCACAGCTTCGCCATCCCGAAGTCGGCGATCTTGGGCCGGAATCCCTCGTCGAGGAGCACGTTGTGCGGCTTGATGTCGAAGTGGATGATCCGCGTGTTGCACCCGTCGTGCAGGTACTCCAGCCCCCGCGCCACGCCGACGGCGATCTCCTGCAGCACCTTCCACCCCAGAACATCCCTGTCAGGGCTCGCCGTCGCCTCCGCCTCCTCCGCCTCCGCCGCCGCCGCCGCCGACGTCGAGTAGATGTACTTGTCCAGCGAGCCATTGGGCATGTACTCGTAGACGAGGGCTCGCTTGGAGCCCTCGAGGCAGAAGCCGAGCAGGGAGACGATGTTGACATGGCTCGTCCGGCCAATGCTGACCACCTCGTTGAGGAACTCCTCGCCGTTGGGCTTGGAGTGGTGGAGGAACTTGACGGCGACGGCGCGGCCGTCGGCGAGCGTGCCGCTGAACACCGTGCCGTAGCCGCCCTCGCCGAGCCGCTGGCTGAAGGACTTCGTTATCTTCTTCAGCTCCGAGTACCTGAACCTCCGGGGAGCTAGGGATCCGTAACTCTGCAGCAGCTTCTCCACCTTTGCAGTATCCGTTCTGCTTGCACCGTCCATGGCGTTCAGAAAACTGAAACGATTTTGCATACGTCGGCGACACTTGTAGACGATGGCGATGCATGCCAATAGCACCAACCCAGTCGCACAGATCGACAGTGACACTGAAAGCGACGAAGCAAACAATTAGTATAGATTAGTAATTACTACCAAGTGGTAAATTTATCTAGATAATTGATCATGACATCATTATTGAAGAAACAATTGATCATCATGACATATACGAAGAATAAAAACAAGTTGAATTATATTATTTTGTTGGATTAGTTAAGCAAGAATTGAAGACTGAAGCGGATGCATACCTATCAGGATGACCTTGTTCCCGGACTTCTTTGCATCTGAAAGGGAAGAATCATTTCATTTTAGTCAACATATGTACAAAATATCGCCAGTCTATTCCAACCAATTGAAATACATTGAACGAGCATTAATTTATTTCCGAGATTAATCAAAGAAACAGTTCCTGATCAAAGACTAATTGTTCCACACACAGTTGCGTCATTGATTTCCTGATGACTAATTGAAACTGGTTGGACCAATTAAGGTGTCTGAACTATTACTTAGGAACAATTCAGACAACAGATATCATCGTAAATTTGTACATATGTACGACGTTGCTTTATTCGAAGTATTTGTACAGTGGACAGAGACCAACATGTATCTGACCTAACCAGCTACAGGAGAGTGCAGCAACAGCCGCCGCGAGCAGCAACATATCTCGTTTGATTCAGACATGATGAACAAAATGATCAAAATAATCAGATGAAATCAAACAAAATCGTCTCTTTTCGGACACAAAAGTTAGTTTTAGTTGACCATTTTGCTCCTATCATTGTGATTTCAAAGTCAAAGTCGATAAGTAAGCACTAACAACTAACCAACCACACGTGCTGGCTGTATACGTATTCTACATGTAAACGTTGCTGAGATCGGAGAACGTGAAATTCCGGCTACTTGTAGCTAAAGTATAGCTTCACAGATCACACTGGGGCTTATGTGGAGTCCATTATTGGTTCTCGGCAAAAGATTGTTTCATACGATGAGATCGTGACAGCCACCATATGTTGATTCAGTAATTTAATTAGTCCAAGCCCGTGCAAAAAGTCATTCCAGTTCTATTGTACTTCCACTATTGCTAGTCCTATCAAGAGCCTTGTCCTGAAAGTACACTTCACCTAATTAAAACATGCATAAAGAGATCACCTTTTTTTCAGTTCCAGAATCACAATCTACACTTTTTTTTCTTATTAAAAAAGAGCAATTTTACGGTCCTTGAGAAGGTACCATGAGGTACCACTTTTTGTATTGTAAATTTAGTACCTCTTGGTACCTAGATACTATGAGGTGCCAAATTTTACACTAAATTTTCGGTACCTCATGGTACCTCTTCAAGAACCATAAAATTGCTCATCAGAAAAAGGGAGCATCATTAGGAAATTTTAAAGAATTTTGGATAACGTGAACGGTCACCGATTGACAACCATTGTTAGATTGTTACCCTCCATATAAATCACGTTCAAAAGTCAAAATAGCTTAATCTACTTACTTCCTTTTGTCAGTTCTAACCACCCTGGTTTTTGGCACGACCACGCAAATACGAACTACTACTACATGTTCGTTGATCCTAACTACTGCTTGTGCTGATCAATCAATAAATAGTTAATTTGAATTTTAATACTCTCAAGTCTCTAACTAATTTAATTTGAGTAATAGTTATGTATTTCCCAATAATCAAATTCAGGGAAAAAAACTGAACGAATTTAGCACAAAGAACAGATAGATTTACACTTACCACATATCCCCGGGCGCGATGAGCCGTCGGAGCAGATGCAGGCGAACGCCTCCGTGTCGGCGTCGTAGCCACACTGGCCGCCGCTGGCATTGCACGCCATGCAGTCGCCGGCGGGCGCCCTCCACTCCAGCATGTAGCCTCCCCGGAGCAGCTGCGGGTAGTCCGTCGGGCTCGCCCCCGGCACGCCGACCACCGGAACGGCCGCGTAGTCGCAGCCTCCGGCGACCACTCTGGCGGCGGTGTTGTTGTAGCTCGTGTCGAGCCGGACCACGGCCTTCGCTCCCGGGCACGTGACGTTGACGAACCCTGCCGGCGGCGGCCTGCTGCTGCTGGTGCAGTTGAAGAGGAAGACGAGCTGGCTGTTGGCCGGGCTGGCGGTGAACGGCGCGAGGGTGAGGCTGGCGGAGACGTCGATCTTGGGCACCGGGCAGCCGCTGGCGTCGGTCTGGACGTTGTCGTTGGCGACGACGACGGTGCGGTTGGCGTACGACACGCCGAGGATCTTGTACCCGCTGCGGAAGGAGCGGGCCAGCGACGCGCGGCTGCCGTTGTCGCAGTTCACCTGGAACGCCGCGGGGCCGCACGGCGCGGACGACGACGACGGCGGCGGCGATGAGTCCGGCAGCCAGAACGGGTAGGCGATGGTCACGTTCCCGCACCTCCTCGGCGCGCAGCTCGTGACGGCCGCCTCCGCCGCGTGCCGCGGCGCGAGCAGACATGCCGCCAGGAAGGGAAGCAGCAGCAGCAATGGCGTGTCCATCGCGACGACGGTTGGTGGCGCGATGCGGCGAGGAAGAGGCGTTGTATTATAGGCGAAGCGATCGATGGATGGATCGAGGAGACGAGGAATTTTACATGTGTGTAGTTGACTTGGTTTCGTGCACCACTTGCGTCATTTGCTTGGTCACTTTCTTGGACCATTCTCTCTTCTTCTGGAGTAGTACGGAGTATGAAACGAAACGAAGATCGGTAAGGAGAGTTCGTTGGGGTTGGCAGTTGCCACTGCTCATATTAATCTGCATGCGAGTTAAAGTTAAACCGCGATTGGTGCATATTATAGTACGTGCTGATTACGTCAGCACGCAGTGTTTGGTGAGTGTGCACCTTCGTTGATACCAGCGTACGGAACTTCAAAATATTTCAAATGCAAGTTGGATAAAGAAAAGCGCAGAGGAATGCAGGTACTTGTCTCACTGGGCCGTTAGCTGAAGAGGGCCAGAATAGGCTTTACAGCCCAAACTATGGGCCTAAATTCTGACCCATCACATAGTACGGGCCAGAATTTTGTGATGCGTCCGTGCAGCCCTTGTTCGGTTGTTCCCTTCTCCCCGGCGCCGCCGCGGCGTCGCCGTCGGCGGCGGTGCAACCGTGCAGGATTGCGGCCGCTGCCGTCTCGCTTCGTGAGCCGCAGCAGTAAACGCCAGCTGCTCGGCCGTAGGCATTGAGGGAGTCGCCGAACAACGCTAGTGTTCTCCTCCGCTGCGTTGGTGGCGGTGGTGACTGGTTAGGGCGGCGGATTGGGGATGGATTACAAACACAAGCAACGGGGAGCCGGGGAGATGGGCATCCTGTCCTGTACTTTCTGCGTTGGGCGAGGCATAGATCGAGCAGATGAACTCATCAAAAGTTCGAAGGCTGAGTAGAGGTGCCCGCTGCTTCTTCGTTTCTTCAGAGGAACCGTGGAGGAATCCAGTAAGTAACTTGCTCTTTGCTCTTTTGCGTACTACTTTTCCGTGAAAATTTTGGCACTATGATGATGCTAGTTTTTGAGCCCATAGATCAAACTAGGGAAGTGGGAAAATGTGATAATTATTGGCACGGAATCGTAAATCGTAGCTTCTGGTAGATCAAATTGTTGAATTAAATTATGAAACAAGTTAGGGGGATGGACAGAATTCAGAAATATCTTCGATTCAGCTACCTTAAACACACTAGTCAATGCCATGACCCATGAATGTGTGATGATACTATGCCAAAATTTGACTGCAGATCATCTTTTTGCATAGTTGGTAGTCACTGTAGGATCCTTTGAATTAACGAGGCTTGTCTCCTCAACCCTTAGCACTTCACTTAGAGCTTGTGCAGCTTTGGTATTTATAGTAGAACTCGTACTTTCTGTGTTAATCTCCTGAGCTGGATGTTCTCTGAAAAACAGAAATAGCATAGATGAAATTCACTGAAAATATTACCAGTCCAAATCATAATGTGTAGAGAAAGTATCTTACAGTAATTCACTGAAATTTTGTTTTGGTGGCATTTCCAGTTCATCCAAACTTCTCTCGAACATATCTAAAACCTGGGTTATTGTCGGCCGATGCATAGGCAATACTTGTACACACCACAAACCAATTAAAGTCATCTTTTTGGCTATTTGCTCAACCTCACTTGTGACTTCACAAGCTTGTAATCCATCATCCAGAGCAAAGTGGTCATAAATCCAATCTGGAAAATACTTTTCACTTGAATTTTCAACCATTGACTTAGCATTCTTCCGGCCTCCGACCATCTCTAGCAACATCATTCCGTAACTATAAACATCTGACTTTGTTGAAACAATTCCAAAGGATCGATAGATCACTTCAGGAGCGATAAATCCAATTGTTCCTCTAGCACCTGTCATTGAAAGCTTGCTCTCCTTGGTGCGGCACAGTTTGGCTAAACCAAAATCAGCAATCTTTGGGCAAAAATCCTGGTCTAGAAGGATATTCTGAGGCTTTATATCGAAATGGATGATTCGTGTGTTACAACTATGGTGCAAGTATTCTAGCCCACGAGCAATCCCGATTGCGATTCCGTAAAGTTTTTCCCACCCTAGAATTTCTTTGGGATTTTCTGAATAGATATAATCGTCTAGTGAACCATTGGGCATGTACTCGTAAAGAAGAGCTCGTTTTGACCCCTCCAAACAAAACCCAAATAAGCTAACAATATTAATATGAGAGGTCCTGCCAATGCTCATAACCTCATTCACAAATTCCTCTCCATTTCCTTTTGAGTCATGTAAGAATTTCACCGCAACCAGACGACCATCTTGTAACCTTCCTTTGAATACAACACCATAACCTCCTTCTCCAAGCTTATAATTAAGAAATGATGTTATCTTTGTTACTTCTGAATACTTGTATCTTGTTGGAGCTATTGATCCATAAGATATTATGAGGGCCTCAATGTTCCTTTCACTGGTGCTGCTAGTCTTTGTGTAAAGGAAATACCGTAGTTGTTTCCCCTTCCCATGCCATATTAGCACATATATACATGGCAAGAGCAAGCCTGCAGCTGCTGCTGTCAAAACTGAGATTAAAACACATGTTATTTCCTTTTACAAAATCATAATGGTATACTACGACCATTTATTTTGCGATATCATTGGCTTTTCCTATTAAGGATATTATTTCCTTAAGTTTTTATTTTGTTATTATGGTTTATGATTCAATGGTATTGTGGTAAATGTTTTTGACATACCTATTAATATGGTTCTCCTGCCAGTTTTCTTGCTGCCTGAAACAACAGATTTTATCAGCAAAAGTAATGTCAAGAGTAGAATATTTGATGTTGTCTCAAAACAAATGAAGCATCACGTTTGAAGTTCAATATTCTTTAGATGATGCCTGATTTGTTGATTGTGTTGGCTGGAGAATAATCACAGTTACGGTTAGCTAGAATACCAAGTATTTTTTTTCCTTCAAATCTATATGATAAAGATAGTTAATTAGAAGAAAGGTATGTGCCATGATCCCAGCCGTAGAAGTAAAAGAACGGCTCAGATTCGGCCAAATCCACTCGGTGGAGTTGGCCCCAGCTTCAGGGGATCTGAACCCTTCTGGCCAGATGATTCTTGTAATTTCGTATCTCACCTTGTTGGTACTGACTCTATAGCTGAGTAATATACCTCTCTTTTCCCACAAAAAAAAAGTAGTATATTAGTATATTTTCCTCAGCAACAGTGGGGTGCGTTTCCTTGGTGTTGATTGCCACTTCAAGATTTCTGGCCTAATTTGCCGGCTGGCATCTGTAAAATATTGACTTATGTGTAGATTTGCGCGATTTCTGGCTACGGAGAAGGACAAACTTCTATGACTGGGTCGTCTACGTGACTACGTTCAAAGTCCTCTCGCACTTTGCAGTCGTCTCTATGTAGATTATAGCATATATTGACCGGGACGTGATATGTTTCTCTAGAAAAATTCTATAGCAAAATTGTTTTAAAATCGTATTAATTTATTTTTTAAACTTAAAATAATTCATATTGAATTAACTATACGCTAATAGCATATCGTTTTATGTATTTTCTCAATCTTTTTTTCTCTCATCTCAAACATACTCGATTGAGAGACTTTAAACACATGTGTATTTGAAATGGGAGGAAAAGAGAAGATTGAGAAAATATTATGCCATTAGCATATATATGAGTAAATTTATAGTCATTGATAAGTTACCGGGAGGTATCGTATTTTCTATTGTAAAATTTGGTATCTCTATGTACCTGTAGTACTAGAAGATATCAATTAGGAGATACCAAAAATTGCGCTAAAATTATTATTCGTACTACGAATTAGGAGGTAGAAGTATCAAAATTAGGAGACACTGTAAAATTACTCCTCTCAATATCATACTTGGGTACTACGAATTACTCCATTCGTCCCAAAAAAAAAAACCTAATCTTATGTGTCCAGGTTCAAACTCAGGATTGCGTTTTTTTTTGGGACGGAGGGAGTAAGCCATATGGACGAACGTGTAACAATGTTTAAAGATCATTTTATGTTTTCGAAAGTAGTGGAAACTGGAATAGGAGCTCACCGGCGCATATCGTCCCTCGCAGCTCTCCGTCGGAGCAGAGGCACGCGAACGCCGCCGCGGAATCGTTGTTGTACCGGCACTGCCCGCCGCTCGCGTTACAGGCGTCGCAGTCGCCGAACCCATTCTTCTGCCACTCCAACACGAACCCCTTCTTGAAGAGCGGGCTGTAGTTGGTCCCCGCCGTCAAGTTCACCGGCGACTCCGGCCACAGCACCGGCAGGTACGAGTACGTGCAGTTCCCGGCTTTGATCGCCGGTGGCTTGTCACGGTCGTAGCTCCCGCCGAGGTACGCGTAGATAGGCTTACTGCAGTTGGAGATGGTGGCGTTCACAAGGCCGTCGATCTCCGGTGGCTCCGTGCCGTTGCAGCTGTAGAGGAAGCAGATGGCCCGGTTGCTGCTGCTAATCGTGAACGGGCTGAGAGCTAGACTGGACGATATGTTGAAGTCGGTGCGGCACACGCCGTCGCCGCCGTCGGCGACCCTTTTGTGTCCAGCAACGAATGAACTGTTGGTGTAGTCGATGCCGAGGACGAGGATTTGCGAGCCCCTCAACGACGCCACGCCATCGCGGCTACACCACAACTCGAAGGACGGGTGGCCACAGGCGGCAATGGCCAACGACGACCGGTTGAGGTCGGGACCGCTTAGCCAGAATGGGTACTTGATGGTGAGGTCGCCGCATGTTGCCGGCTCGCAGACGGCGTGTGCGTGGTGGCACAGGAGGAGCAACGTAGCCAAGAGCGGGAAGAACAGCAACTTCGGGTTCATCTAGCCACTCAAATGGTGGAGCTAGCAGCTGCCTGCAGGCTACTACACATGGAGGAGTGGAGAAAAGCAGAAAACTGGAAGGGGAGGAAAAGGTCTAGCTTGAGAAATAACATTGCCATTGCCTTGTTTTGCTTGACCTTTTTCCGATCAGTTAGACGTCATTTTAATCAACACAAGTGGAAAAGTCGCCGTCGCCTCTTTTTTTTTTTTTTTTTTGAGGGAACACCGGTGGGGACTCCACACCTGAATTAAATTAAATAAAACCACAATCCAAACTGTACAAGTACAAGAACAGCAAGAGGAGATACAGAGTTACAGCAGTTGGAGGGGGGAGGAGAGGATCGAAAGCCAGATAGGCAGAACAAAGTGGTCACATGGGTTGAAACGATTAACCCAGAGCCTAGCATCCTGAATGCAGTTGTGGAAAAGTCACCATCGCCTCTTAACTTCTGAGGAGGGGGGAAATGACAATTTCAATCTTCTAAGGGCATTAATAGTGCGCCACCCATTTTACTCAGCTTGGGGCTACCACATAGGATGAAGACACAAGAAGAATAATACTTGCCACAAGTCTCACAGTGCTATGTAGTCTCAAAGAGTAGCCACACAAATAAAAAAAATCGTTTCTCTCTCCCTTATCCTCAGTCCGCTCCCAACCATCTCCGCCCACGCGCCTCGCCCCTTCTCCTCTCGCCGCGCCTCCCCTTCCTCCTCCGGCGCGGCGGCGGCGTCGAGCCACCCAGCTGCGGCGTGGAGCGGCGCGGCGGACGACGGCGGTGGCGTGGAGCGGCGCGGCGGACGGGTGGCAGCACGAACGGCCCGAGCGGTGACGTCGATGCTGGTCAGCAGGGCGGCTCGAGCGCCTCCCCTCCTCCTCCTCTTCCGGCCACCCTAGATCGAGGGGCGGCTCGGCCGACGGCGGGGCTGTTCGAGCGCTTCTCCATCTCCGCCCGCGCGCCTCCCCTTCCTCCTCCGGCGCGGCGGCGGTGCCGCGCCACCGAGTTGTGGCGTCGAGCGGCGGCAGCGGCGGCGGGGTGGTCGAGCGGCGGCCTGAGCTACGCGGCACCGGGCGGCGGTCTAGGAGCCCCTGGTGGCACGGCGGCGCGGCGCAGATCGAGCCGCCGCCCACCACAACCACTCCCTCCATCCCCGCTCCGGCCACCTCCCTCGGCTCCCTCCCCTCCCCGTCCCCTCCGGCGGCGCTGGGCACGGGCGTCACCCTCTCCTCTCCCCGGCGGACGACGATGGCGGCGCCGTCGAGCTCGCCAGATCCGCCCTCGGACAGTGACGGCACCGAGCTCGCCAGATCCGTCCTCGGTCGGCAGCGACGACGACGATGGTAGTGGTCCATCTTTCCTTCCTCCCTTCTCTCTGGCGAGCTCGGGTGGTGGCCTCGCCGGCGACGACCGCCGCCCCCTTGCACGGGGCCATGCCCTCTCCGGCGATGCTCTCCTCTCCCCGGCGGCATCGGGCGGTGGAAGCGAGGCAGGGTTGGGGGCGGCAGGACGACGCGGCCCACGAGTGTGGGCCCCACCTGCGAAACAAAGGAGGAATGGAGAGCCAAAGTTGGCTTCGCGGTCTTGGGCAAGCCACGCGGATTGCCGACGTGGGGACGAATATTCGGTTTCTAGGGGTGAGGCTGAATGCCACATGGGAGCATTGTGAATGGCCTAATCGCGATGCCTGATTAATTTATGGTACATGCCGTAATCAGTTACTAGCAAACTATTTTCTTCTCTAGTGTAGTCTGTAGGCCGATAGAACCGCCCTCAACCAATCATCTCTTATTATAACCCACTAAATTCTAAATCTTAACAGGTAAAATGTCACATCATTATCCATTAACAATTATTATTTAAGCATCATACAAACATGCTATATTATCTATAATTTTATAATTTATTAAATTTTAGAGATATAAAATACAAGCATGTTAAATCATCCCACATAATTCACATAATATTTCAGTATATATCTCCATCATTTTTTAATGTTTATATTGTTTAAGGTATCTTACACATTATTTTTTTGACTTATTATCATCATAGTAAACTCCCACAGCAATGCGCAGGGTTTCACCTAGTCAATATGGAAATTGTTGGCGCCTCCGAAAGTGCAAGTTATTCTCATGACTCGTCATTCAAAATACAGTGTGGACGACGGACAGATTGGAACGAAGAGGGTGGCAAAATCAGAAGGTTTGCCCGTTATGCTATATGGCCGACGAGTATGCGGATCATCTACTGGCGAAATATAGGGCCACACTGACATACAATTGGATAAGTGGGATGACCGTTACTCAGTCAAACACTGGTGGAACCTAGTGCTTGAGTCCCCTAATAACCCCGTCTACCATTTCGAACTCCGGTGATCCTAGTATCTTGGGAAGTATGGTGCAAGCGTAATGCAACAATCTTCCGCCACAAAGCCTCAACGCCGGCCTCAATCCTAGCCAAGAGATTAAGGAGGAAGCTGGAGCATAGGCGAAAGTAGAAGCAACTAGACTCTAAGAGTTTGGAATTTTAGGAGATATCATCTAAGGTTTCTTTTTCTGGGTCTATCATTCTTTACAAGCTCTGTATATATCTTTGTATATTTTTCTCCTACTCTATATTGATAGGAGGCAAAGCTTTTGCCACTATTGGAGAAACCATCTTTGCTGGGTTGGCCAAAAACTACAATGGCCCCGGTTTGAATAGAAACCGGGACTAAAGATGATTTTTTGTCCCGGTTTTAAACTTTATAGGCCCTAGATGATCTTTAGTCTCGGTTCATTTTTTGTCCGAGGCTATACAGTATATAATCCCTATGACTTATCCTCCCAAACTCCTCATCTTCATATTCCTTCTTATCCTCCCAAACTCCTCTCTCTTATCCTTATCCTCTTTCTCAGAGTGAGCGAGCGAGGTCGGCGGAGCTGGGAGGGTAGGCGGCCGGCCGGGGGTGGGGGCGGCGAGATGGAGGCCGGCCGGCGGCGGCTCGGCGCGGGGCGGCGGGATGGGAGACCGGCCGGCAACGGCCAGATGTGGGACGGTGGGATAGAGGCCGGCCGTCGGCAACCGGGCGTGGGGCCTCGCCCGGCCTAAGGGGAGGCGACGGGATGGGTGGCCGGCCGGCGGCGGGATGGGAGGCCGGCCCGGTTTGATTTGTTTGAGTTTCTCTTGATTTTTTGATGATTTGTGGATGTTGTTGATTTGTGAATATATATGTGAATGTGTTTGTGAATGTTTATGTGAATAAATTTGTGATGATGTGTTGTGAATGAATTTGTGATGTTGTGAATGAACTTGTCATGATCTGTGTGAATGAATTTGTGATGTTGTGGATGAATTTGTGATATGTGTTGTGAATCAATATGAAAGGAGGAAAAAAAACGGAGGAAAAAAAAATAGTTCCGGTTGGTATCAATCGGGACTAAGGATGCATCTTTACTCCGGGTATTTTAACCGGAACTGATAGCGATCTTTAGTTCCAGATTCGTAGTCCAGATTTGCTACTCGGGACTATAGAGGGTTGCAAACCGGGACTTAAAAAAAGGTTTGTGCAGCAGTGTGCCCTCCTTTCAATTTTTTTGTCTCCTCCAGGCTAAGCGAAAAGTCGGTGATGGTTCTGAGCAGGAGCGCGTGGTAGATGGAATTATCTTGGCACCGACTTGCAAATTTTCATAGAAAACAAATAAGTACAGATTAACTTTGGTATAACCAGCTTTACACACACAGTTCAGATATTAGCCATCTCTCGGCAAATCATCACAACTGTTTCAGGCCTTCCAACTGCTCTTAAACCGATTAAACTTCAATTTTTTTTAATGACTCACACAAGACAGTGCAAAGTTCATATTGATAGAGCAGAAAAAAAAATTCAAGATTACAACCCTAGAAGACCGTAACCAGGAAAAGAAAAAAGTATACCGTCTCCCACACACCGACAGCACCAAACACAAACCCAGGAAAAAACCAGCACCGGACTGGCCGCCGCTAAGCGTGATCAATCGCCGCAAGGCCAACAAAGGAGCTACAAAAGGGATCGCCCAAAACCCAATCCTTACAACCGACACAAAACCTCACTCTATCCACATCTCAGGGATTCAGGGAGAGAGGGTGAGAGAGAAGAATGGAACCGCTCTCCCCGTAGGCCCTCCGATGTGACCAACTTGTACAAACTAGGACGTCGATAAAAGAGGAAGAGACTCTAGAACGAGCTTGCAACAATTGTTTGGGTGGTTTCGGCAAGGGCGTTGCCTAGACGACGTCTCCAGGGAGAGAAACGACGAAAGTACCGCCGCCGCCGACCGTCGAGGTTAGAAGAATCTTGACTGGGCTTTCGCCCGACAACCCCACTAGAGGAGGTGAGACGGCACGACAACGCCCTTAGGAGGGTAGTGACGCTCGAGCGCCATCGTTGCCGGCCTGGCTGGGTTTGCACCCACCATCCACACCTACCTATCCACCGTTGACGCCCCGATGCTCCACCGCCATCAAATCCTCTGCCGGCGCGCACGCATCACTGCATCGACGCCCCTCGCCGGCCAGTCGCCGCATGCCGCCATCAGCAGCACCCGCTGCCATCAACCTGCCGGGACGCGCCGGCCTCCCTCTCCCTGCCGCCGGGCGTGCCGGCCTCTTGCGGGACGTGACGACCTCCCTGTCATCTCCCACAACGCCCTCCTCCTCCGCCAGCCGCTCCCGCGCCTACTCCCACGTGGTTGCCGCGCCTGGCACCACACGCACAGCTCCTGCACCTACCACCGCAGCACGCATCCTCCTGTCGTGGGCTGTCGTGACTGCCAGTCGCCCACGGTCCACGATCGCCGGTCGTCGTCGTCCTCCTCCTCCCGTCCACGGTCGCCGTCCGGCCCGTCGCCCGTGCATGCCGAAGCCGTGGACACCACCTCCAGCTACTATCGGCGCCGGCCTCCCTCAGTCGCGCCAAACGACGACGCATCCGGCCCGTCGCCCGCCACTGCTCGCGCCGTCTCCCGCTACAGCCTCCCGTCGCCCTTCGTCGCGTCAGCTGTGTGCCCCCGACTGAATCCGTCGAGGCGGCGCTAGATCCGGTCGTGGGGACGCCGGATCCGGTCGCGGCGGCACCAGATTTGCATCTCCAAGCCGGAGACTCGCCGGCGC